TTTGTTCTTTCCCACTCTGATTTTTGACCCTGTATTCCCAGTGGAGTCTGAAGCTAAGGCGAGTCTTTTATATCTGCTGGCATCTACAGCAGCCTCATCCATACCATTACCAGCTAAACAAGAATATTTCCCAACCACATGCAGCAGTCAACGCTGAAAAGGCCAGATCCTGATCTCTCTTACACCACCTCACAGCCAGAGTCGTAAGCACTCCAACGAAATATGCTGAAAAACACAGTTTTGCTTCTCTCCCACCCCAAAGTATTCTTGGCTGGTCCTCTCTAGCACTGCTGCCCACTTTGTGCCTCACTGATTTAAGTCCTGGAAGCCAGGAAACAGTTTCATCATCAAATTTGTGTCACACACCAAAAGCCAGTGCCCTTTTCTTTCCAGCAATCTCAAATAGTCAGAAATGGCTTTCACACAGAACATGCTCCTGCAACCAAGGCAGCCTGTTCAATCTGGGAGCAGAAGAGCAGCTACAGGTGTCCAGAGAGGAAGGTGAGTTAGCAATACTTTTTTTTGGTCACACACTGCTCCCTTTCTTGCTTTGACCTGGGTTTCACCCACAATCAGGTATGAAAAACAGATGTAACAGGAACTCCTCTGCTTCAGAAAATCATGACTAAAAGGACTTTCTTGGTCTTCTGACAGTTATCACAGTGAGGAAGAAAGAGTAATTCCAGATTAGGTTCTCGGAAATGTGAGACCATTAGGATACATTTTCTCTACATTAATCTGTCTCTTATTGATCATCAGATGCAGAAGCCTACAGAGAAGATGCTGACAGATGTGCAAAAGGAGATTGCTAGTATCCTCTCCATCAGTGCCAGCGTAAGCGCAGACAATGCTGGTGACAGCAGCACCAATTCATCATCATCTCCTGACACCTAAATATAAAGTAACTTATCCCTAAAAAATGCAGATCGACAGTAGCAAAAACACAAACTACTCCTTCTTGGAGTACCAGCTCTCTAGGATGCCAGATACCTCCCTAAACAAATTTGGCCCACTGTTTTTAAGTTGGCAACTCAAACTCTACTATGATTTCAATGACTTAAATTGCTTTAAAAAAAAAAATTATATATAAAATCTGTTTTAAAGACACTTATTCAAGATGTAGATGTTCCGTATCAGATTAAACTACTTCTGGAGTTCCATTTTGGTAGATCAAACCACCTCTAAAAGTCAGTGCGTTCACTCACCCGCCCCCAGAACAATCAGAAGAGTGGCGAGCTCAGTCCACTGGGATGAACTGAAGTTAAACCTGCACACAAATCATTCAAGTGGGCTATCGCTGAAGAATAATTAAACACTAGCATGTTTATCATTCCTAAGCATCTAAAAGCCATAAAACTTCATTTTGTTTGAGAATTAAACATGTCATTGCCACAACTTACTTGAAAACCTTTCTTACTTGCACCTGAAGACGCTTTTCATCTCTGTATCTGTGCATTCTTACAAACCCCTAAGCAACTCAACAACTTCTAGGCAGTCGCCGCCTCAGGTTTACCTTAAAATTCAGTGTAAGATTTCAAAAAAAATTATTCTTTTGAGCTAGAAATATACATCCTTCTCTTGCCACTTCCAACAAAGGAAAGAATGCACAAGCTAAAAATGAATGCTACTATCAACTGCATCAAGTCTGTCAGGCATTTAAATTAAATTGATGTAGGATACACCGATTAAATGTAACGAAAAGCATCTTCTAGCATTAGACTCATTCAGTTAGCTCATAATTATCAGCAAGAAACATTTCATCACAAGTTCTGTAAACCCAAAACACTCTGAAGATACGCAAAAGGTGCCAATATCACCTCATTTTCTTAAACCAAGCAATCCTCACCCCTAGGTTCATTGATTCCTTTGTCACACTTTTCCCCTTCTCTTTTGTTTTGAACTCTTTCCTTAAGAAATAAACCCAGGCCTTGAAACCTTTCAGGTGAAGTGATGTTAGCAAAAAGACATCTTAGGTTTTTGCATTTTCCTCCTTCGTGAGCAGGCAACGTTCTCCTACATCAATGAAAAAATGTGTCTGTGTTTTTTTGGAATTAAACAACATAAGGCAATCAAATATTGAGAAGCAGTCATGTGAATGATGAACATCAAACCTTCCCATCACTAATGTGGAAGAGGAGGAGTCAAAGTGGATCTGATTTATAATCCCATGTCCTAGGCTAGGTCTGAGGACGTCCATCTCTTGTAGCAAGGAAGCAAATAGTTGTTGCCTGCAGAGGTAGCATCTTGCCCGTGTCGTTTTCGGTGGAATTAAGATGCTAAGCAGGTGCTTGCTAAACTGAAGGCCATGAAAAAAATCATTTGGCTCTTCACCATAACATCAAATCTAATTCATAGGTTTTTGGCCCCCAAATCTCAAATTGCACATCAATCTGATTTTGAAAGTTTACGCTTAACATGTCGGGGGGGTTCCCAAGTATCACTATCATCTGTTTCTTCCTCATCTTCCTGATCTTCCAGCATTTCGTCTTCCTCCTCGTTCTCATCAAACAGCTCTATTCCAAGTTCTAATCTTCTTTGCCTTTCTGCAAACCACTCTCTGACCTGCTCATATCCCATGTGAGACTTGGCTACCAGTTCATCGAGGTCCTGCTCATTAAGGAATTTGTGCTTCATATAGTAGTCCTTCAGGATTGCTGTTCCAGTTTTGAATTTTATGACAGACACACCTCTGTCCCAGCAGTTCAACCTCTTGCTTCCCCGAGGCCTCCCCCGAGGCCTCCCCCTCCCCCTCCCTTTTGGTCTTCCTCTCCCTCTCTTCCTCGCAAAGCCTTGGCCATTCAGACTGTTTGCATTGGCGCTCTGGTAATAATAATACCATTTCAATCCACCATTTTTCCAGGCATAACGAGTATCTCCAAACCAGCTCACAATTTCTGATCTCGGGAGCCCAGTTTCTTCTGCCAGCTTGTTGTATTCTTGTGGAGATGGCCACTGAGTACGGACAAAGGAACTTTTAAGCATGTGCAACTGTTCTGGTGATTTTTTGCCTATTTTGCTTGAAGTAGAACAGCCTGATTTTGCTCCTGCTGCTCCATCTCCCACAGAGGTTTCTCCAGCCTCTTCCTTTGAGCTGCCAGCATTGCTTTCATTCAAGTCAGCTCCCTCTTCCTTTAAGACATTTGATTTCCTTCTTTCTGTAAACCAGGCATCAATCTCTCTCCTGGTCAGTTTGGTTTGGGCTCTTAACCTATTCATCTCTTCATCTGTAAGAACAGGGTTACTAAGAAAACTCGCTTGGAGGACTTGCAGCTGTTCAGCAGTCTTCTCTTTGAATTTCTGTGGGGTGAAATCAGGAAAAGTGCTCCATGATGACTTGCTCTGTGGAGCGACTCCCGTTGGGGACTCATTCATTTCATCGCTTGAATCAATAACAATGGTGGCACATGAATCACTGCTGAGATGAATCCCATGATTATTCTTCGAGTTTCTCTGATTGTAGCGTGTATCGCTGAACCACTTCTTGATCTCTCCTTTGGTCAGGCCTGTTATTTTCATAAGTCTAACGATTTCTGAATCTTGAGGAAACTGATTTTTAAGGTAGCTGACTTTCAATTCTGCCAGTTGTTCCTTGGTTTTTTTTGCTCGGATGCCGAAGGAGTCAGGATTCATCAGCGCGGATTCATTTTTGACAGGTTGAGGGGCTGGAACGGCAGCTACTTGTTTGGTTTCTGCGACAGGCTGAGCAGTGTGAATCTGACTCTTCTGTAACTGTGTTTGGTTTGGGACTCCCGCTACAGTCAAAGCTATTGGGGCTGTTACTGGTAACGTATTTGCACCTGCAACTTGAGTGAGAACAAGTCCTGGCTGACCAACTATTTGGCATGTCTGTAAAATTGAAGGTAAACCATTGCTAGCGGCAGAAATGTGTGCTGGAATTACAGTAATTGTCTGTGGCACAGTATGCACCGTGCCATTAAATTGTTTCCTCCTTGCTTCCTCCACTTCCTCCGGCGTCCAGCTCACCCCGTGTTTCAGACGCTGGGCAGAAAACCATATTTTAATCTGTTCCTCTGTGTACTTTGCTTGAGTGGAAAGAACAGTGATTTCCGACATGGTTGGATACGGGAATTTGTTGTAGGTGTTAAGCAAAAGAGGATTGTTATCCAAAGCAGTATTATAGGCTGGAATGCTATTTACAGGTATTAGGACTTTTGGAATCAGGTTTGAGTTCTGCGGAGCTGTAACAGCCGTTATAACCTGTGCCACCCCAGGCTGAAGCACTGGTGCTGGAGTCACTACGGCACTGGCCACATCTGCTGCGCTGCAAACTGAATGGCTCGCCTTGGACTCAGAAACTGCCGGTGGTGGGTTTTCTATTACTTCGTCAGAGTTTGGCTCATTTTCAGTTCCCTTTTCTTCACCAGGAATGTCATCAACTACATTGTGGAACACAGCAATACGTTTAGTCTCGGATTTGTTTTTCATCATTTTCATGATAGGAGTTTTGCTAATTGAGATCCCTGATGAGGGGACCTCAGAAGAGTCGGCCTGTTCAGCGTTTTCTTCTCGAACAAAACTCCCATCAAAAGTGAGATCGTTTACTGTTTGCTCAAAGATTGTCTGATTATTACGTTTCACCATGGTCAGTTTAAAATTCTCCTCTCCAGGGTGATGCTTCAGATTATGTTCCGAGAGAGCATCGTATCTTTTGGTAAGGAAATTGCATTCTACACAAACGTAGGATGAATTTAATACTACGTTGGGATGTTCTGAATCCACATGGAAAGTAAACATATTGAGATCTGGAGTTTGAAACGTACAGTATTTACACTCGTAACCACCTTCTACTTTATTTGTATTTTTCTGATTGTCTGAATCCACACACTCGTGAGCATCCTCATCACTTGTTACGCTCTCTGCTGTAGGGTTATCTGCTGGCGTGAGCACAGGTGGTCCTTCCTCCAAGTCTGATACCGTTTCCAGATCCGGATCCTGCTCGTTGGCTAAGACCATGCACGGTGTTGTTGATTTTCGCTTACTTGCCATGCCTGTTATGTGAAAATGATACTGACTGGTCAGATACAGACTTAGCTTCAAGCTCTTCTTGATTAATAATAATGGCTTTCAGTAATTCAGGTCAGTTCTTGTAAAGTCTCAACATTTATCCCATTAGCAGCTTTCCTTTTGTAGTGCAATCAGATTAAAAATAGATAGTTGAGGATGAGATATTGAGACACACTGTTTTAAAGTCCACATCCACCACCTGTAGCAAAGAAGAGACAGTGGAATTAGTTCAATTTAAAGGGTAAGTTCTATTCTCTACACATTATGGCTTAAGGTAACTGAGTCCTTTGGGATTCAGTCTGCCACTGTTCATCCCCCAAAACCAGCAGACCCATTCCAAGAAGAGATACTCAAAGTTCAGTTAAGAAAGGAAAAATCCAATCTACTTATTACAGGCTGAAATTTGGTTTAGTTCATATCAATGCAGTGAAAGAATGATGTAAAATTTCTAAGAAAAAAAATTTCTCCCTGGAAGTGTTCAAGGCCAGGCTGGATGAGGCTTTGAGCAACCTGGTCTAGTGGAAGGTGTCCCTGCTGATGGCAGGGGGGTTGGAACTGGATGATCTTTAAGGTCCCTTCCAACCCAAACCATTCTATGATTCTAAAACACAGAATGGTGTAATACAGGTAACTTTCTGTTTCCCTTCTGAAGAAGAAGCCGCCTTCTTGGCACAACGCTGAGGTCAAGCTGTCCTACGTAACTTTTGCAGTCTTGCCTTTGGACTGCTTTGCCAAAGCTATGACAACTTCTCTCAACGGCGCTGTGAGCTCAAGTCCTTCCCATCACAAACTCGACCCCAAGCAGGACATCTCCACTACTGACACTCTCATGCCTTTCACGTCAGAGGTTGTGAGGGTCCCAGAAAAAGCAGGTTTAGTGTTTTTCTATTGCATTATATATCATAGAATCATAGAATGGTTAGGATTGGAATGGACCTTAAAGATCATCTAGTTCCAACCCCCCTGCCAGCAGCAGGAACACCTTCCACTAGATCAGGTTGCTCAAAGCCTCATCCAGCCTGGCCTTGAACACTTCCAGGGAGGGGGCATCCACAACTTCCTTGGGCAACCTGTTCCAGTCTCTGACCACCCTCACAGTGAAGAACTTCTTCCTAATATCTAATCTAAACCTGCCCTCTTTCAGTTTAAACCCATTTCCCCTTGTTTTGTCATTAACTGCCCTTATGAAAAGTCCCTCCCCAGCTTTCCTGTAGCCCCTTCAGGTACTGGAAGGCCGCTATAAGATCTCCCCAGAGCCTTCTCTTCTCCAGGCTGAACAGCCCCAACTCTTTCCTCATAGGAGAGGTGCTCCAGCCCTCTCCTGTGTGAGCATGATCATGTACCCGGCCTTTCTCCCAAGTCTGAAAACAGGCAAAGCCATGACTTTTTAAGGCACTTTGACAGACAAAAAGATGACTATCCTTTCTTCCTAGCTCTCCAAATGTCATTCTCCAATTGAAGACCAATCCCAAACCAATAAAAGTTGATTGCTAGCACATGGCAATTAACTAAAATCTGTTTTCATGCCTCTATGCATTAACAGGGACATGATTGACTGTGTGAACTGTACCAGAGAGAAAAAGCATTAAAGACTGATATAGCAAGCAGAAGCCAAACAAAATTATGTATTCTTTGTTTAGAATTTCTAAGAAAATTTCTAAGAAAAACTCAAGTCCCACCAAATAAAGTTGAGGCCTATAGAAATTCAGAGAATAAATATAATCTTAAATAGCATAGACTGGAGTGAATTTTATCCCACAGGGACCAGGACTAGTCTGTTGGAAATAATGCACAAACTTCTGCAAAATTTACAAATGCTGTAGTAGTTTTCTTCTTGAAATAAAACCAGACACCGATTTCTCATACCAGAAATCCCACAGGTACATGAATTTTCAGACAGTGGAACATCATCTACTTCCCAAAGCGGGGGCATGCTCGAGTTCAAGGGGAATACTCAGTAGCTGTTTCGGAAGGTTTAGAAAGGCAACAGCATGTAAGAGGTTAAAAACAGAAGGCCAGCTTTGTTCATGACAAAGTCTTAAAGGAAAAAGGATAGTATAAAAGGAAGAAAGGCAGTTACAAGAAATTGGAAGGGGAAAAGAAATACTATTTTTCACTGTACGAGACAATGATTCTTTCTTTTTTGATTATGAGAGGGCAGAGGCTGTGGATAGGAAGGAAGATAAATAATTCTTAGCTTCACGTTTTTTCTTTTAGGTAAAAGACAAGTGTGTTCATCCATAGCTGCCACTCAGTGCTGCTCCATAAGCTGTTTTCGAAACTGTGTGCTTCACCCCACTTTTTCATAAAAATCCTCCCCAAATGTTTTTAACAGTCACCCTCTGCACTGCTTCTGCGCCTACATCCAAAGTGCACAGCCTGACATGATCGGCTTTTTATGCCAAGGATACAGTTACATGGCATTAAGGACACTGACAATGCTCAATAAATCTTGGGTAGTCAACATTCCAGGATGACAATTATTTAACAGCACTGAAGTTGAAAGACACCCTTCTTCCACAAGATAATGCTGGCAGTCTGTAAAGCTGCACAGAAGCGTAAAAGATATTTATTTTCATATATATACAAAGTATGTATTACAGGCCAGCTCATTTATCTTTGCAGTGAGAGTACTATGAAGCAAAGCTAAACGTATCTATTTGTCTTGGTGTCCTGAGGGACAAGAGGTAGAACATTATTAACTGTACTGCTTCTCTGTGGGGCTGGAGGGTTGTCTTCTTGACAAAAGAAAGACAACTGCCAAGGCTCAACGTTGAGCAATGCTCTTGGGGAAGAGCTGGGTGGTATTACCTAATCATTCTGTGATCTTGAGTGAAATTTCAGAAATGCCAGAAATGCCCATTTTCAAAAGCTGCTTAACAGCCAGTTTTGCTGACTGAAGTTGCAGTTTGAGAAGCAACTGCAGTGCTCTGCAGTGCCTCATCCCTAGTGCAGCACCTAGGATCTATGGGCAGGGCAGCCTGAGTGAGCTGAAGGGCTCGCTGAGGGTCCTGTTCTGGGAAAGCAATGTTTGACCTGTCACGCAGTGCTGACGCACGCTCCAGAGCAGGCTGCAAATAATGAATAAAATAGGAAATCTGCCCAACAAGTCAGTGCCCTCATTTACCTAATAGTGTTCCCGGTGCCTCCAGGTCCACATGCAACAGCATCAGGTGCAGCCTTCCAGCTAAACCCCAGTATCACATCTCCGCTGGCTGTGCTGCCCAGGCAGGCTGTCCTGTCCCTCCACTGTTTACCAACAGGGCAACGTGTTACACTGGTGCAAGCAGGTCTCAGAAGCTGCATCTATGCTCTTCTGACTACACTATGCAAGATACTTCTTTTTAAAGGATGCTGTGATTTCAAACCCCTGTTTAATTCATCTCTTCATATGTCCATGAAGAGCTACAACAGCACGCACTAAAATCCCCAAAAAGCAAGATGTTTCCAACCCTTCCCAGCCGTCTTTCCTCTACAGACTTTACAGAAACCTCCATTCCCATCTCCTTGGTGCTAATGGGATTATTCCATCTGTTGCACCCTGCTTGACATGTTCTCTCAGCTTACCAGGGGATTATGAAAACCCACACTCAGGTAGTTTATCAAACCAATTATGTGTCACCCTTGTACGTCAGTTCCCCTAGAACACC